CCTCGGCCTCCCAAAGTGCTGGGATTTCAGGCGTGAGCCGCCGCGCCCGGCGGCATCAGATTCTTTTTAACAACTGCGTCCCGCTCTGTCGCTTGACTGCATGCAGATGTTTCTGGATATTTGGATGGTTTCTGATTCTTCGCTCTTAGCAGGCAGGTCGACAGTACACAGCACTGCGCGGGGCCTCTCTGCAGTAGATCCCCTCCGGGGGGAGGGGCAGGGCTGAGTGAGTGTGCCCTTCACTGTCAGGCTTACGTCTGAAAAAGCTGTGACCGATGGCATTCCCCCCGCGGTGTGTGAGGGTGACGGTCCCCCACAGTGTCACAACACTGGCTGGGAACATTCGTTACAATTTTGCCAGTCCAGTGGGTTAAAAAGAACAAAACGCTCCAGAGATGAATTCTAACTTAGGAGCTTGAGGATGGCCTTGCACGCTGAGACTTGAAGCATAATCGCGGTTAATAAAAGGGAGAGGATCCTTTATGAAATAGACAGAAACTGGGAACACTGAGGGAGCAGGCTCTGCCCACAGAGGATGAATGGCTGGTGAGGGAGGGAGGCTGAGCCGAGGGGGCCGGGTGGGTTGTCCGCGGGACAGGGGGGCCGGAACCCTGCTATGGGGGCCTCGGTGCCAGGCTAGCAGGCGGAGCTTCAGGCTGAAAGGTGTCTGAGGTTTTCCTAAGCAGGTGTCTCTGTTGTACCCAGAATTGAATGTGTGGAGGCAACAGAGTGACAGTCCCGAGAGGCTAATGCTACTGTAATATTTGTGTTATTTAGGGTTCCCAAGAGAAGGAGGCATAGCACCCCGCCCAGGGCCACGTGGGGAGGCGCCAGCTTTGAGCAGGAGGCAGGAGTGGAAGGAAAGTGTGGCCACAACTTTTCCGTGGAGAAACAGGGCAGGGCAGGGAAAGGGCTTGGCACTGGCTGGCTTCCATTACGTTGGCAGCCCTGGGCTAGAGGGGTGGTCTCTAGTGACCTGGACCCTGGCCCTGGGTAACGTGGGGCAGAGGAGATGCTGGCTGGGCGAGTGAGCGTCGGGTAGAGAAGGTAGTTGGGGACATGGGCTCTGGATCAGTGGGTGTGTGAATGAGAGCTGTGCTCACAGGGTGTCACTGACAGTCTTAGAAATTAGCGAGCCCTGCGGGGGAGCAGTTTCTCACCCCGGTACCCGCCTCTCCTGCCACAAGATGTCAAAACATCATGAAATATGGAAAATGTAAAGAGCACGATTAACACACAGCAGAGTGTCGTGCTTAGTGCTGCTCGTGAGAAAGGCCTGAGTGTGAGCGAAACCCTCTGTGTCCCCACCTCCTACAGAAAGCCAACAAAGGCCAGAGCCGGGCCATCGAGCGCCTGAAGAAGAAGATGTTTGAGAATGAGTTCCTGCTGCTGCTCAACTCCCCCACAATCCCGTTCAGGATCCACAATCGGAATGGAAAGGTCAGGAAGGGTGGGGGTGGGACCAAGACAGCCCCTTCCTTAGTCCAGGGCGGCCCAGTCTATGGCTCCTGGCCCCAACCTGTAGGAACCAGAAACTCGGGCCCCTCTTCCTAAGGAGGCTGCTGTGGCTCCAGCTGTTGACTCACTCTCCCCACTTGTGTGGAATGAGTGCCCTCTGCTGGCCGTCCCTGGCACGGCTGCTCCTGTCACCTTGGCTTTCCAGGAAGGAGCTTCCCCTTCACCCACACCCCCGCAGCTGCCTCCTTCTCCAAGGTCAGCCGTGCCGGGATAAGGAGGAGCTTTGGGCCGG